TTATTAAAGATCAATAATTGAAGTAGTTACATTATCAAAGAACATTACTGGAGAGAAGAACATTATCAAAGGACAATATAAAAAAACATTAAAGTACAATATCAAATAACATTACCAAAGATCATTATCAAAGAACATTATAAAAGAACATTATCAAAAAACATTTTCAAAAAAGCCTCAATTACGATTATTAAATAACAAATAACGTTAATAAACGTGTTAAAATATGATTGATAAAAGATGATTAACTATCAGACTCACCCGGTATACCATTACAACACACCAATCATTAAAAAATAATCATCTGCAGTTCAGCTGATCGATAATTTATAGAACAATATACAATTATGCAAAAACCTCACGCGTTCGGTTTTATCAGAAAATTGCTAGAATATAATAATATTTTTTACGGCTTGTCGTATTACCTACCTAGTTGTGCAAAGGTCAAATTAATTATTATTGTAGGTTGTCGCCAAGCTGACTGGTGTACCTAAGTCGATGCGTAAGCCACACGTGCCATTTATTTTTACCACGATGCACATAATCTCGATCTCAGGTGGGTTTGGGTATGTGCAAATTATTGTTGCGATTTCTATCATTTCCGTGACGTCAAACGGAGTGCTGTAATTAGTTTGATGTTGCAAAATGGAATGGTATTGAACGTTTATTGTATTAGACGGTATGTTTCTACGAAATTTATTTAAATACAGGGTCTTTAATAATAGTCGTATCCCATGTGATCTAGTAACATTACAAAAGGCATTGAAAGTGGCTGTTTTAGGATATGGTCGGATATTAACCGGAATATTAGTTATGCGGTCTGAAATCAACAACTAAGTTTAAGTAGTTTACATAGAAAAATAATTTAAAAAATTGTTCACAAACAAACCAATCTTTTAACGTTGTAATATTCTTTTAAACATTCTAAATGAATTGATAATACATCATTGGAACACGACCATAATTTGTTAAATGTCTATTTTCATGTAACAATAGTCTATTCCTAGTTCTTGATCCAAAATTAAAGTGAAATAAAGCAAGCAGTTCTGGACAATTTATTAAACGATTTAACAACTTATGGAAGAATAGTAAATCCGTATTATTCCTTCAGTTTTCAAGAGATAAAAGATCATTTCAGAAATTTGACGATATTATTTAGTCAGTACATTCCTAGCGTGTATGCATAATGTCTAAAAAAAGTCCTCTTCTATATATCCAAATCCCATATCGTCGTGCCATTTTTTGCAGTCAGATGAGAGACTATACAAAGTTTTTAAAGAATACCTATCGTGTCTTAGGTCATGTTTTGGTGGAATATGGTAAATTTCGTAATGATTAAAAAACCAGTATAATTGTGCCTGTATCGTTATTGAATTTCGACCCATACATACTTGAACAGGTATGGAAAAATTATTAGAAATGGTTGTATCTAGACAATTTGTTGAATATATTAATAATAATAATAATAAAATATATAGGTTTTCGACAGGATCATTTATGTAAATCAGCTTTTAAACTCCTATTATTATTAATTAAAAAAATTTAAATCAATAGGAATCAAGGGGACTATTTTGGCATGGTTTAAAACATACTTAAAAAACCGACAACAAATTACTAAGGTAAATAGTGTCTTCTTAAATCCTGCTAATTCCGTAATTTAAGGAAGCAAACTATGCCACTTTACTTTTCTTAAGTTACCTTAATGAAATTCACTCCCACACCACACATGTGATTTTATCAACTTGTTTTCTGGGTCGCATATGAACTTGAATGTTGCCATAATAATTATGGTCAATTTTTCAACATTAATGAGTTAAAATGAAATGTAACAAAAACCAAAGCTCTGGTCTTAACAACAACTTATAAATCCAAAAAAATAGATTTTAACCTTGTAGCTTTGACTATTAATAATGAAAAAATTTAATTTGTGGCCCATTTCAAATATTTGGCATTTATTTTAAACAAAAATACTGCATTTCACTGATTATTTTTAACAACATAACAAACAAATATAGAAAAATAAATTTTATACGCACATATCGAATTATTTATAACGGCAGTAAGGTAACCATCTATAATACAAATGTACAATCGTATTTTGATTACTATTTGTAGTACTTGCACAGGGATTCTACACTACTATATTCTGTCGTGGATTAGACTGAGGCACAACTAACACTAACAATCTTTAAGATTTATTTACACGTAAACATTATTTATAAACAACCATTTTGAACATAAGTTTATTTATGTATATGTCCATTTTGACAGTAAACAGTAGGAGTATTGGACCTTGGGCTATTCTTTTTAATTTTTTTTAATTCAAAACAGGCATCTTCTTGATTTATTCTAAACTAGGTGTACCGTTCAACTTTAAAAATTTCTGAGTATGACATATACAAGAGTACCTACTCCAAATAATTGATGAAGTGGCTGGCGCAGACACCAAAATTTACCAAGTCCTCAAAAACTGCACCATCATCAATAAATTATTACGAATCTATTATTATTAAGTATTCATTAATTCAATGTAACTGAAAGGTATAAACAAAAGTTGTTTAATTATTGATGATAATATAATACCGGTATTGTACAGATTTATACAGTGAACACGGTTAGTATTTAGCTAGTATTCCATTTATCTATCGAGTAGTAAATTTGATTTAATTAGACTTACACTAACTCCAATAGATTAATCAATTATGTAGGTATATTTATGTATGTGTAACGACTATGAAATTAACAAAACAATAATAATAAATTCGTAGCAGTTATCCAAAATAAAAGGAAAATAGGACAATAGTTTAAAAATTGCAACATCATATTTATCATCAGCATTATTATATAAAAACTAATTTCATACAAAAAATGGAATGAAATAAGATCCCTGGACAAACTATAACGTTGTGACATTGACAATATTGACATATGACGTTGACAGATGACGTTAGCTACTCCTTTTCAAGAACGGAATTCTTCTCTTCGTGCTTTGTGGAAACAAAATAAAATGAAGTGTCCCATTTTATTTAAAAGGGCAAAGGACTATTTATGTACACCGGGGAAAAATTGTTTTCTGAAGCTGGAAATGTATTTGAAACCAAACGAAACCATTTACATTCTAATAGGGATAAAGTATTAATTATCTTACATCACAATCTAAATCTGCAAACTACAACTCTTTAAACTTGTATTACTTTTAATTGTTATTATGCTTTTTATGGGACATGTGCTTTTATTATATTTTGTTAATAATAATTTTTTTACTTTGTATAAATAAATGTTATAATAATAATAATAATAATAATAATAATAATAATAATAATAATAATAATAATAATAATAATAATAATAATAATAATAATAATAATAATAATAATAATAATAATAATAATAATAATAATAATAATAATAATAATAATAATAATAATAATAATAATAATAATAATAATAATAATAATAATAATAATAATAATAATAATAATAATAATAATAATAATAATAATAATAATAATAATAATAATAATAATAATAATAATAATAATAATAATAATAATAATAATAATAATAATAATAATAATAATAATAATAATAATAATAATAATAATAATAATAATAATAATAATAATAATAATAATAATAATAATAATAATAATAATAATAATAATAATAATAATAATAATAATAATAATAATAATAATAATAATAATAATAATAATAATAATAATAATAATAATAATAATAATAATAATAATAATAATAATAATAATAATAATAATAATAATACTCTCCCTAATTCACCCCCTTACGAGTGAATTTTAACCCCAAAAGCTGAGCTTGTGCGGGGAAAGGGACGGCTATTATTATTATTATTTGCCGTGACGCTCCGGGGCGACTTAAAGATGATTGATGGTGCCATTTGACTTACAGGAGGAAAACCCGGAAAACCTCACCCACCATCATCGAGACGGTAATGTATGGCGATTTTTATAATCTGCATGTCATGTCAACAGAAATTGAATTTCTATTAATACGGCACACATCAAATTCTATACCGAACCATGCAATTTAATTAAAAATCCACATGGTCTGGTCTGAGATTCGAAGCCCGGCAATCTCTGACCATAAACTTGTCTATAAATGAATATAAGCGCGTTAGACTGCTACACCACCGACCCATCACCGACCCTATGTAATAAATATATCTAGTCATATCTCGGCGAACATTTGGCGAACCAGAACTAAACAGTCTCCTGCCGAATAGTACAATTTCGGGCCGGAAACGGATAGTCAAAAATCAGGCCGAATATTTGGCAAACCGAATATTGGCCGAATATCCGTTAAATTTCTAATTACCTATGTATTGAACGATTTTTTGTGCCACTGCGTAAAAACGTTATTTGGATCGAACTTATCGTTAAGCGCGGATATGAAAATCAGTCGGAAATTGACGACAAACACTTGCGATGCACATTTTATCGCTCATTGTCCACATGCATGTGCGGGAAGTAGAAAACAACTAGGTGCGGGCGAATTATCAATAATTTCACTTTTTGCATTGGTCAAGTAAGTCTGTACCTACGTCAAATTGGCTACTGTCAGGTTCATTCTCCGCCACTGATTCGAGTGCAATTTCGTGCATATTAATTAAATTTTTTATTACAAAATATTGATGTACACGTTTGCCGTATAGATAAGGACCAGTTCAGTTGTAGATTGCATATGGGAATGATCACGTATGAATTAAGTGTCTGTGATAATTTTAATACCACAAATATTATATTAAGGTAATAATAATAATAATAAACCATAATTTATTAAATAGTTCTAGAATAGTTTTACGAACAAAAAAATAATATAGGTCCAAGTAAATGAACAAATCCACCCGATCTAGCCACCTTGACACTGATATTCCTAATAAAAATCGTTATAAAATTTCAAACTTTATTCATATATAATATTATTCTTATTTAAATTAAATATGTTTTTCTTATTTGTTGCAGGCTCCGTTTGAAGTGCAGAAACGTCTAGAAGAAGTACGTTTACTGGAATCGCGAAAATCTGCGAGATTAGCCGATCAAGATACCGATTTTGCCCGATTGGCGGATATGGCAGGCGATAGAAAAAGAACCGCCTCGCACACTATCGATGTACCGGCTCCATCATATCATCATGGGTAAGTTAAAAGACTTATATTTATATGTTCCTTTAGTCTTACCCGTACGAGGTCGTTTAGATTGCCCTTATATATGCCACATACTGATTTGCTGTTTATAAGTAAATTCTGATGAATAAAAAAAACACATTGAATACAATTTGTATGTAATTTGTATTAAAAAAAACCACGCAATTACAAAATGGATATTTATTCAAGAAAACATTTTGATTAAACTAAAAAATAAACGTTACCAAAAAATAATAAATAAAAAATCTTTTACTATGAACTTTTATCTTAGGAAATGGATAAGGAATTATAGTATAGTAAAAACGGTAACAAATAGGTCGAAGAGAATTTTTCAATAATACGATAATGCAATACATCACAGACGACCTGGGGAAGGGTTTACATGCAGCTCATGTTTTTCCCAGATGATGTTGAATATTATATTCATCTTAATAATGTGTAATAGCTCAATTGGTAAGAGCGGTATGCGTAGAACACGGATAGGTGGCTTCGAATCCCTTCGTTGACAGAATTTTGTCACTTTTTATTAATTTGGGGGTTCAAAAATTATTTTCATTGTTTCGTGGGGTTAATTTTGGGATTTGTTTGGGGCTTTTCAACGAATTTATTTATCTTCTTTTGTTTTCACTTCTCTAACCAACAAGTTTCTGAAACTTTAAAACTGATTTTCTCGCCATATACATTTTCTTTTATAAATATCGTCAAATTTTTCAGGGGAGGGGGACGGGGCTCAGACATTCGTTAGGGGGAGCTAAGCTTAGCTCCTCCTGGCGCCCTCTTGGCTGGAACCAACACACCAGAAGGCGGAATGTTGCTTCTAAAAAGTCCAAATAAATGTTATATCGAGAAGTCTTTCCAGTATTGATGCACATTTTGATTTGCGTGCAAAAAGATTACCTAAGTATGTAATGTGATGTACAAGATTTGTTGAGAGCTTCTTTTGGTATTTTTTTTAAGTTATTGTTACCAGTGAAACATAGAAAAATTAACAACTAAAAATTACAAAATGTCTGAACCAGATTGTGAAACAGATCTGATAACTATATCACATTTTTACGTCTACAATCACTAAAACCAATGATTCACTACAAACAGAAATCAGTTATCCCAATCTAACAACCTCAAAACTTCTGTTTTCACTTTCTGATCCTTTTGATAACGTGATGAATGGCTGTTATAAAACGATTTTAACCATCTGTTGCTCGAAATTTGTTTTATAAGTTTATTTACATTGTTTGTACGTTCAAAATTGGGTTATGTAAGTTTAGATTATGTACGTCAGTGGCGTACCGCGTAGGCGGGTATTTTCATCCGGCGTGCCAAATTAGAGTGAATCATATTGTTTTAAAAAAATAAAAAAATAAAGCAGATCTGACTCAGTATATCGTCGTCGACAAAAATGTTCTATTGATATAATGATATACAGGGTAAGTTTAAAATTACTGGCAATCAACAAAAATTGCAGTAAATGCCTTTAAGTTATAAACCGAATTATTCCGAAATTTAAAAAAAAGTTTTCAATGGTGTATTCAAAGTTTTTTTTTATTCTTATCATAAATACCAAGTCAATATTTGCCAGTAGTTATCAGTAGTTTGTTATCGGTTGTCGTCTATTTTCAATCATTTAATTAAAAATTATGACGCGTTTCTCAAACCTAACCTAACCTAAACCTTTTTCTCGGTACTAGTCAATACTAATCATAAACCAACTGGTATTTATGCTTAAAACAATTTGTAAAAAAAACTAGATATTTCAAAAGTGATACGTCTGTATAAGCTATGTAAGCTATATTTTATGCGTTATATTAAAAGGAAAATAGCAGAATCTTTGATGTGTTTGCCTTCACTCATATACATTAAAGGTGGTTGAGAAAGAAAGTCTAGATATTTAACGAGTAAAAAATAGTAACGTCATCTGCACTTAAGAAGCAAAATCAAAGCTCGCTGTGGTACCTAGTTCTTTAGAACAAGGCGAAATAATGACCAAAACTGCTAAATTATCGTCCTCTTTTTTAATTATATAATCGTTGAAAAAGTAAAATGTACTATTTCAGCACTTGTTAAGAAAAGAACAACTATTAAACCCTAAATGTTTCGGTTTACATCCGAATGTTCGTTGTACAGATTATTTAAAAAAGGATACAGAAAGGAAAGGATCATTTAAAAATGCCATCACTATCACTTTTGACGACCCAGATTCCGAATGGTTAATATCAATTCATCCATTTGAAGATCGAGTGTATTACTTTCACTGAAGCGGTTTTTTAATGCTGTTAGAAAGGAAGGATTGTTTTTTTTTTCGGTAATAATAAAAATTAGTTACGTAAAATCGCTTTGTGTAATAAATGTAATTTTGGCATTAGACACGGTATACAATAAATTAACTATAGCGTGCAATATTTTTATTGGCAATTGGAACTATTGTTTGAACATTTTCACGCCGCATAAAATATGACACCATACAACTACAGCCTTCTATAATTATGTTTGTACCTTGCCCAATTTTAGTAGATACAGTTTCTTGATTATCGTGCCCCTAGAAGTTATTTTAGCAATGAAAGTTGTATAGATGACAAATATATCTTGAAGAACCATGAAATTACTACATTTTCTTTAATATCCAAAACTTGCTCTTTGTACATTCACTAGTTTATTATTTCAAAAAAGTAATAATAATAGCCTTCCCGCCCCTTCCTCATCTTCTTCGTTTGCTTTTAGAGGTTCACTCATAAAATGTGGTTCAAGGAAGAGTATTATTATCTATATCTAGGTAAAGAAAACTCCTAGCTCGCATTAAGTGCAATTATCTTGCTTAGATAAATCCGAATTTAAAAATGTTTATCCAAAAGTTTTTTGTTTCGTATCAATATATCTATATAGCTATAGATATTTTAAAATAAACAAATTCTCTCTAGTACAAATAATAAATTGATTTATTTTAAAATCTAAAATTTTTAGTTGAATATTTTGTATTTTTTTTGTATATTTTTTATATATTTTTTGTATTTTTTTGTATTTTTTACTTCCTAATGAGAACGTCATTCTTGGACCTCAAATATTGACTAGAGATTCTATAACGACGTTAAACATGATTCTAACAAAAATCTCTAATGTGATACGCTTTTTTTTGTATGTAATGTATTCGTGTCTATTACTATTACAGACACTTGACACTTTCAACTTCCAGGTCATTGCCTTGAATTTCATTTAGAATTTAGAACACCAAGTCTGTCTAATCGACCTGTCTGACTTTTTTGAAATATTCAACCTAGGTCTAATAACCTCCGATTTTAACGTTTTATACAAAAATAAAAACATGAAAAATTGAGTTGGAATAAGGTACTGAATTTTTTATGACTTCTCATACTTATTGCGTCTGAAACAATTACCAATAATTTTTTATGGTATTTTAGGATAAAATTATTAATAAAAAAAGACAAAAATATGGGACAAACTAAAAAAGATAAGAATGTAAAACGAAAAAAGTACAATGAAATAAATTTCAAGTAATTTTTTTTTTTCAAAATTTTCGCATAGAACTAGTTTTCTTTTAAACGGTTATTTGATCAAACATTCCAAAAAAACACCGACACATGCAAATTTACAACAGAAAAAAATAAATATTTAATATTAAAGACCGTAATTCAATCTGCTTAAAATATAGAGGAAACTACTCTTCGGAGTACAAGAAGAAACATAACCAAGGAATAACCGATTGAACCAGACAATGGCGGCGGGTGCATAAGTGCTGTAGAGCTGCAGAACTGACAAAAAATAAAAGTATCTCATCTATATTTCACAGAAATTATTTTAGACATTCTAAAATACCTTTACGTAAAATAAATTTTATGGAAAATTCCACACCTGTAATTTTGAACCAATCAAAATACGTGTTTTTGACAGATCACCATGGCAACGGAGGTATTTTAGTGGAAATTTTTTTCTCGTGGGGTACCCAACAGCGAATTATACTGGAAATTTTTTGACGTTTACAATAACAGACCATTTTTGACAGACTGGTTTTTATTTGTTCACATAATAGGTTTAGTTTTGATACATTTTAGTTACAATGCTAAGGTGTTTTCTATATTCTTCGGCCACTTCTTTTCTTCTTAATGGCGAAAATGCAGGACTTTGGATGCTTTGAATTATGTGTCTATGTCTAATAAAATATATATAATATTTAGACACTAATTTATTCACCTTTTTCCCATTCAGCACTTTGAATTTTGCGTAGTTTAGGTGCAAATATTCGTGGACAATTCGGAACAAATTTTCGTTTTTCAAGTTGGAGCCACAATCCTCTATTAATCCGAGTAAGTAAGTCATGGTGCAATGATTGATCATTACATCAGACAATTTCACGCATATTTTGCATAGCGTATGATTTTCAAATCGATTCATTTTTAAACAAATAGGTAATTTTGTTGGTTTTACTTGCTGTGCAATATTCTTTATCGCAACAAAACGCGAGTTATTTAATGGTTTGAACTGTCAAAATACAATGATCACAGCCTCCTACGATTGATGCTTACTGACGCTGGTTATGAATTTCATACCATTTTAAAGCGCTCATAACGCATGTTAATAAAAACGCAGAAAAACAATTTTCTACCACTTGTAGTTATTCAAAACTTACGTAAAATTAAAGAATATACTATTTTCTATTTTCAAATGGTATTCCCATGCAACTACAATGAGTAGAAATAAGCAATTTGAAGGCCTAAATAATTGCAGCGAAACATTTTTTTACGTCGGGCCGCTTGACAACTTCAAAACTGAAATTATATTCGAGGTTAGGGTCTCACTTAGTTACCATGACAACTCAACAATCAAGGCGACAACACCTTTTATGTTTCACTGGTGACTTGGAGAAAATAATTTGCATTGTTGAGAAACGAAAAATAAATTTTAAAAATATTTAATTTTCAACCATAATTCGGCGTGGAATTTTCTTACCGAATACCACGCGAGGTCAAATTAATATCAGG